GAATTTGCTAGATGTCCTTCAGGTTTGTTGCGCCTAATAAGGTTTTAGGAAATGCAATTAAACATACATTATTACAGATCTCACAAAAGTCAGGGTTAATGTCAAAATTTGTTGTGATTCTTCCCCAAGAAAATGCTGTGCCCTTTAGGATGTTGAGTCAATATTAATACAGAAAGTTTTCATTAAGATTCATAAGCCCATCTTTTGTTTCATATACCATAGAATGTGCTAAGAGTACAATGTTTTAGCTTTTTCTTTGCAAAGGCAATGACTGTGTAAAGATACTGGCTGGTCATTTGTTCTTTCAGTGATCAACTATATATTGAGTATCTATCTATCCATTAAGCCTGTGCTAGGAAACTGGGATTTTTGGAAATGAACTTAAACCCTGTATGGTCTCTGTCTTCATGGAACTTAAGAGTCTAGTTAGGGAAGATAGACATGGTTCGAACAACCACTCAAACTAGTATAAAATTGCAACTATGCAGTGCAATGAAAGGCTTAATAGGGGATTTGACAAGGAGCTCAAGAAAGGCTTCCTGAAGGAAATAACACAGTTGAGATCTAAACACCAAGTAGGAATTCAAGCAAAATGAGGAGGGGAAGGTTATCAGGCTGAGAAGACAACTGCATGAAGACCCCTGTGGGCAAGAGTATGGCAAATATAAGAGCCTGGGAGAAGGCAAGAGTGCTGGGATTGAGGTGGTGAAGGAGAACAAGATAAAAGGGGAGGCTGGAAAAACATTTTCAGGTAAGATCATGAAGGGACTTGGCTTTGTAGAGAACTTTATCTTTGTCTTATACAAATTGAAAACATTTAAGGGTTTTAATAGTTCCTATATTGCAGTACCTAAGGGCATGCCTTGGTCCAGTGCAGAGGTAGTGGAAAAAGGAGGATGGAATAAATTCAAGAGATATTTAGAAGGTAAAGTCAAAAGAATTTGGAGTTGGATAGGATATAGGGAGTGAGGGAGGAAGAGTCATTGCTAGTTTTCTGACTTCACACATTGGTATGTAATGGTTCCATTGAGACAGGCAACAGCACAGGAGAGCAGGTATGGTGGAGGGAAATTATGAGCTGGGCCTCAGGCATACTGGGTTTGAGATACCTTTGTGACATCCAGAGGATATGTAAGAAGCTAAATGTGTGAATCTAGGTCTTAGAGGTACATCTGAAGATGTAATTTGTAAGCCTTCTAGGTAGAGATGATTGGAGCCATTGGTGTAGATGAAATCATCTAGGGAGGCTGTGTTTGACTAAATATGAAATGACAGTGGGATAATTTTCTTCCTTCAACATATGAAGAGATAGCTACTGATTTATTTGTGTCTAAATGTCTTGAAATGATTCAAAACAGAATTCCAATCTTTTCAAGTGACCATTCACATTTATCTACCTAGCAATAGGTACCTGAAAATGTCAGAAATTTCAAGAGCCCAGTAAAAGTAAGGTTACAGGAGAGAATAGGCTTGCTATGTTATGAAGTTGAGAAGAAAGTAAAAAAATCAAACCTAAATCCCTCTTTATTTGACTGGGCTAAAGCCACGGCATGAATCAAATCAGCCCAACAACACATTATACTGCTTTGAATTGGGTTAAAGTAAAAAAAAAAAATTTCATTTTGTTAGGAAATTTGTCAAATCATATAGACAAAAAGCTACAATCAAACAGAACTCTCTGGGTTGTCTTATTTCCCTGCTAGGAACAAAATCTACTTTTGTGCATTGTTCACATTTATTAGTAGTGAATTCAAATACTAGTTGCTTATCCTACCATGTAGTATATTAGATTAAAGTTCAGTAGAAAGTATTTGACCTGGAAGTTTCACCCTGGATGAGTCTAGAATTTGGGAGATTTGTTCTTGGGAAGCATTCCTTGAATGTAGAATAAACAGGGCTGTGATTAGTAGGTTCTCAGTATGTGCGTGTTGGAAAAGATTATGCATTTCTTATGAATTACTAAGCATCAACTGCAAAGTACAGAATATTTAAATGTAAAAATCAATATTTTAGAAATTCTTTAGTTATTGTGCAGTACAAATCACAAAATTTATTGACAAAAAATATAATTGTAGATTAGTCCTTAACATCACAGTAGCTATGATATTGAGCAAAATATTGTATGCTATTTTAACCCTTAGATTGTCTTCTGGCCCTGATTTTAGTTGACTCAGTGATTTAGTTGACTCTCAACAGAAAGCTCTGCTCATACCTGGATACCGGCGCAAGCTCTTCAGAATGCCAATGGGAAGTGTTTCTGCTAAACTCCAGGTTTTATGCGGCAAAAATTCTAATAAAGAAATTGTTCACAAGAAGTTTAAAAAATAGGAAGGAGAGAAAACAAGGGCTTAGCTCATTCATAAACTAGAGTACTCATTTCTAAAATCTGAAATTTGGCATTCAAGTGGCTAAATGACAGACCTTGGCTTGTGACCTTTTTTCCTGTGGCTTGTTAGGTTGTTCCAGGAATTGGAATATGATACTTTCCCTCAGTTAAGGACTCTACACCTTCCAGGAGAGGAAGGCACTAATGTAGTGGGATTGGCTGCCATGCATGCTAAGAAGTAGCCTCCAGTGGTGTCTGTAAGCATGGGTTTCGCTCGATGCGTAGCTTGGATTTATTACTGATCAGCTCTTGAGTACTCCAAGTGGAGCAGACATTTCCCTACCTGAGAAAGGCTTTGCTCCTGACATTGTTGGATCAGGTCTCACTAGATCATCTGTGTGTTCTCTGCCTGTCTGCTGATCTGTGTGCAGCCACTCACTTTGCTACCAGACAGACTGTGGACTCAGGTGATAAGAAAAAGCAAACATCTGCCTAAACTGAATCTTGATCCCGGCAATTCGAAGCTGCACAAAATTGAGCAAGTACCTTAACCTCTCTATAACACATTTTTCCCACTTAAATAATAGGGGTATTCATAGAACTCATCTCACAGCATAGTTGTGAGGATTAAAAATGACTAAATGCACGTAAAGTACGCAGAACAATAGTGTTCGGTGTTGTTGCTGTTATTATTATTTAGTTCATGCTAAATTTGGAGCCCTAATCAGCATTTATTCATAGTCATCATAAGTGTCTTTTTGCACTCTACGTTAGTAAGCATGGAACTCCAATGATGCAATGCATTTCACTTGGAAAGAAAAATCCTGTAATTGGCCTCTTTCCAAATCTTTCTTCAGTGTAATCACAGAAGCTCCTCTCTCTTCCTTCCTTCCTCCTACACTTGGTCTTACCCTGAATACCCCATTCCCATCCCTTCTGTCTTGAACTCTTCCATGCTCTACCTCCTCCACTGTGTGCTAGACCTATTACAGAAGTAATGATTTTTAGAGGGCAGTGTGTGGTATGTGTGAGTGTGTATGTGTAATATAAAGAACAAAGTTGTTTTATGCAAACATTAAGGCAATTATATCTTACACAGTGTCATTGTTGTAGCTTTTATAATTAGTGGAACCCTTGGAAGGAATGTTGTGACCATCAGCCAGGATACCAAATTTCAGAGAGTGGGAAGGTGCAGTACTGCCTCCAGGATCCAACTTAACACAGTCTGAAATTATCATTCCTTTCCAACTACATCCTTTTTATTGTAATTATTATGCTTTTGCATTGATGTCTAACGTGCTCATCCTGTAATTTTATAAGAAAGGAGCCTATGAATGAAGGAGAGGTGTTTCTTTTCCTTAAAATGTTTTTATTTTTTCTTTCAAAAGTAGTTCTAATTGTGGGTAAATAAATATATTTAATGTAAACATATAAAAAATAAAGCTTCTCTTGTGTCCTCACTTTAAGTCAAATAACTTTCTGTTGACTAAGTCAAGTGCAATTATTGTGTTCTTCATTGTTCTGTGTTCATGTGTTCATGTGTTCTGTTTGGACATAATTCAGTGTGAGACTTGGTCTGTTCTTTCTCATGGTGAATTTTATGTTTGAGGTGCTTTCTGCAGACAGTTCACTATAGACTGCTGGATGTGACTGTTGGTTTCATTTCAGTGATTTTGACAAAACTGTGTTTAGAAGTCAGGTGCAAGGTGGATATTTAAATTTTTGTAGAGAAGTATGTAGCCTTAGCAGTGGATCTAAGATTTGCTCTGCTCAGCACTGTGCTTTGAAGGCATGTTTCTCCATTTCATCACAGAATTTCTGAGAGAAAGGGAAATCTTTCTGTCTTCAGTTGTGCTGCTTGTTACTTCAAGAGAAGCCTTTCTGAAATGGCAGCTTTGGAAGTATCCCCTGGATTGATTGCATAGGGGGTTGCCAAGGACTGAAAAGGTCTAGTTCTAAATGGATTAAAACAAGAAACATTACTTTGTATATACCCTTAGGCATAATTAATTCACTTCAAACATTCATCACATTATATAAAATATGTCATTTTTTTTCTCTTCTCTAGACAGGAACATTCCCTCTATCTTAAAATGTAATAAGCATGTGGTCATTTGTAATGTGTCTTATTATGATTCCAGTCTTATTATTCTAGCTTCATTTAAAAAAATTTTAATAAGTAGGAGTGTCTGGATGGCTCAGTTGGTTAAGTGTCTGCCTTAGGCTCAGGTCATGATCTCAGGGTCCTGGGATCGAGCCCCGAGTTGGGCTCCCTGCTCAGTGGGGAGTCTGCTTCTCCCTCTTCCCCTCCCCCTGCTTGTGCTCTCTCTCTCTCTCTCTTTCTCTCTCTCACATGCTCTCTCTTAAATAAATAAATAAATAAATAAATCTCAAAAAAATTATAATGAGTTGAAGAGTAACTTCACCAACCATGTAGTATCTTTCTACTCAAGAGCACTACCTAAGAGAAGAGGTGATACTGAGTTACTGCTTCTGGATGCGCTTCGTGTTGGTTCCCTGTTGGAACATCAGGTTTTAGACCCAGGACTATAAAAAACAGAGGGGACTTGAAATACTTCAGAGCTGAATTTCAGCTGAAGCTATTGTTAATTCCTCAAACATTTTATTTTACTCACCAGCACAAGAAATAACCAGCTCATTTTGTGCCTTCCAGGTATATACATTTCAACCAAATAGAAACGCTACAGCCAGAGACATTTGGAGACCTTCTGAAATTAGAGCGACTGTAAGTGTTGACTCTCTAGACGTCCTTTGCTTCTGCTTTACTTCTTCTGTTTATACAATGTATTGACTGCCCTGGAGATCAGGTGTAAGCCTAAGAAGCAAAGTCTGCACCTTTGTACTATAAGTTAGAGTTACTGTAAGCCATTCTATAGTTTGAAATCAATGGAGAAAAGACGAGTAGCCCAATTAAAAATAGGACAAAAGCGGGCGCCTGGGTGGCTCAGTTGGTTAAGCGACTGCCTTCAGCTCAGGTCATGATCCTGGAGTCCCTGGATCGAGTCCCGCATCGGGCTCCCTGCTCGGCAGGGAGTCTGCTTCTCCCTCTGACCCTCCCCCCTCTCATGTACTCGCTCTCTCTCATTCTCTCTCTCTCAAATAAATAAATAAAATCTTTTAAAAAAAATAGGACAAAAGCAATGAGCATTTCAAGGAGGTAAAACTACTTTGCAAACTTATGGCAGAATCTACCACAATTAACCATACACATCCCCTATGACCTATCCATCAGTTCCACTTCTAGTTATAGACACAGCAGACGTGCACATGTATGCATGTGCACCAGAGCGTGTTCTAGGGTGTTTATGGCAGCATCACTTCTAACAGCTCCACTGTAGAGCTACTCAAGCATCCAACAACAAAAGAAGAGAATTAAGTTGCTGCATGTTCATACAACAGAAGACCATACAGCACATACGAATCTCGGAAACATTTTGAGCAAAAAAAATCCAAACATTGAAAATTGCATAGTTTGATTTTGTTTTTTGAATTCAGAAACTGTAGTAACATGTGTAATAGCTAGAAGTTAGACAGTGGTTACCTTTGGAGAGAAGGAGGTGATAGGGAACAGCAGGAGGGAGCTTCTGCAGTCCTGGCAGTTTTGGCTTTTTCTGTTTTTCCCAGCTGCATTCACTTCAGGAAAGTCATCATGCTTATAGCATGATGTGTGTACTTTTCTAGATGAATGTTATATTTAATAAGCTCATTAAATAAGAATGACAAAACAGAAGGACACTTGGACAGCCTCCTTTTGTGTTGTCTTTTATTGGATGAAAATACTTTATCCCTTCACTTCCTCGATTACCTTATATTAACAAATTAACTGTGATTTTAGCAGAAGATACAGATTTTTTTTTTAAAGATTTTATTTATTTATTTGAGAGAGAGAATGAGAGAGAGAGAGCATGAGAGGGGGGAGGGTCAGAGGGAGAAGCAGACTCCCTGCCGAGCAGGGAGCCCGATGCGGGACTCGATCCAGGGACTCCAGGATCATGACCTGAGCCAAAGGCAGTCGCTTAACCAACTGAGCCACCCAGGTGCCCCCAGATTTTTTTTATGAAGAGAAAGAAAGTGCATAATGATACATCATTCTAAACTTAATCATGAATCAGTTTGAATTAAAATTTGAAAAGAAATTGTAATTAGGAGTCTGTAGGTTTTGAAAATGATGCCCTTTCATATTGATACACGAAATAGACCAGTAAAATTAAAAGATATAAAGAGCTAATCAACCACTTTCCCATGCCATCACTCCAAACTTATCTGCATATAGAAGTATGGGCACTGTAATGAATAAAATTGCATTGTTTAGATTTGTGTGCTTGCTTTGCTGAAGGCATGTAATGGAGGAGGGAACTATACCCATTTCCTGCTCCACCAGTGTTGAGCAGTGAGTTCCACCTTTGGCAAATTCAAGACTTAACATTACGATGACTAATAAGTTCAAAGAACTTAAGCCACTGACTTTAATGTTGGGGAAAGTTTTGCTGATGAATAAGCATTGCTTTCCTCCATTGAAAACTGGGAAGGGGAGATTCCTGCTCCCCAGAGGAGAGCCCCAATGGCAGTGATGGCATCTCCTACCTTTTGGAGGAGGCTGTTATCTTAGGATCCATGAAGGAGTAGGAAACTGACCAAGAAAAAAGGCTTTAACTTCTCATTTCCTCCCTATTATGTAAATAAAAACTATATATACATATTTCTTGAAAGATTTCTGAATATATTAATCACAACGTGTTTTTGTTATGTTTCTCTTTTTTTAGTTCTTTGAATTCTCCTGCTTCTTCTGGAGTTGGTTTTTCTTTGTTTTGTCTTGTTCTTTCTTTGCCATGGTCCTGATTAAGCTCCTGTGCCTTGTGATCCTTGGTATTTATACTTGAAAATATTGGGTTGGAGGTCTAAGTGGCTCCTGTTCCCTTGTAGGTATGTCCGTTTTCTTCCCAAATTTTCCCATTAGAGGGAATTTTAGTTTGGACAGTTGGGTGGGAAAATGGCAGATTTCTCCGAGAAAATACTAGAATGTGAAAGGAAAGGTTTCCTCTTCAGTTGCTGCTCCGCACAAAATCTGTTACTTTTCTTTGTCAATTTTTAAAATTTCTTTAGAGAAAAACCTGTAAAAATAATAAAAAATATATATATGTAATTTTTTTTCCTCTTAGCATTTAGCAGCAGCTACAAATTAATTACATTTCTCCATCCACATGTTCAGTAAACCCCATTTCCCATCCTGTCCCTCTACTCCGTTTGGTGTCTTGGGTCCCAAACAATCAGATTGTTCCTGCTTCATATATTATCTGGGCTTCTGCTTTTTCTGTTTCATCTTCCAACCCTCTTCCATACATTTTGTATGTTTCCAGAGTTCACTGAAATCTCTTATTTGTTGATGACCTTATGCATTCTGTCCTCTTGACTGTTATGGGTTTATTTATTGTATTGAACATCTGGGCTATTTCAGTTGACTTCTGAAAGAGAATGAGGCAAATTTGCATGCCTTGTTGACTATTTTGAGTAAGAATTCTTCTCTCTCTAACTTTGAAGTATGTTTGTTGAAATAATATTTTAAATATTAAAATTAAATTATTTTAATTAAGGTATTTCTCAATCTATACAAATTCAGCATGACTTTGTAACCACACATCCTCAAGTGATGTACATTCAGCAAAGCAGCAACAGTATCTAGAATAGTTCTTTACTTATAGGCTTTGATAAAAGCCCTCATGTATTGTATTCATAAATATCAACCCCTACCACTTGTGTGGAATGTTCTTTTCTCTGGATGCATGATGCCAATACAAGCCAGTGAAGACCTGCATCTTCATCTTTCCTATGAAGAGAAGAATTAATTTGAAAATCCTGGCCCTTTACCAAACTTAGATTTTTCTCCAGTCAATAAGCCTTATTGCTAAACAATCAATCATAAACTATTTATTATTACATCACCAAGCAAAAGAATCTATACACTTTTGGTGAAACCACCTGGGTTAAAATGTTTAAGCTGAAAATTTAGAGCTTGATGCACAGGCAGAAAATTGCAGTAATGCCTGTTAAAGTATACAAAATTCTGACTTTTTGACTAATAATTTGTGGTTGGTATCAAAGAACCTGCTAACTATGCCATTTCTCCCCAGTGCCACTTGCAAACTGTAAAGTAGTGAGACTATGGACATGCTTTATAAAGCTGGATCCCTGTATTTATTTTTTATATGCTGACTGAACTCAGCAAGCTATAGTTTGTATATTGCATGGTTTTTCTTTTAGAATCTTTAATGAATCTCTCTTTAAAAAATGGGAAAAATAGGGTACCTGGGTGGCTCAGTCGTTAAGCATCTGCCTTCGGCTCAGGTCATGATCCCAGTGTCCTGGGATCGAGCCCCACGTCCGGCTCCCTGCTCAGCGGGAAGCCTACTTCTCCCTCTCTCTCTATCCCTCCCCCTGCTTGTGGTCTTTCTTTCTCAAATAAATTTTTAAAAATCTTAAAAAAAAAAGGGAAAAATATATCAAGAGGAAGAAAACTTTGGTATTCTGTAGCCATAAAGAACATTCATGGTGACTAAGAATACATTTAGTTTTATTGGTTTGGGGAGAATACCAGCTTGAAACAACATCCCATGGGATGCTTTATGGAGCAGCAGGGACTGGCTTCGAGTCAACCAGCCTGGAAATGTCTTCTTTATCAGGCATGCACCTCGCTACACGAAGGTTCTTTCAAGAAGCTTTCTCAAAGTATAGGATCTGAATATGAGGTTTTCTCTTCTTCTTAGAAGTCTCTTGGATTTCCAGTGTATATATCTTGAAATGCTAACCTAAATTTCAGGCAGAAGATACGCTTTTCTCCCCTCAGAACATTAATGTTGAAAAAACTCATGCATGCCTGGTTTCTTTGATAACTTGTAGATTTCTGTCACAAGAAAGAGATCAGTCTTTGTATCAATTTTGGTGCAATGGATACTGCTAATTTTCTTTTTAACCAAATATCTTTGACAGAAAACATTAGCAGCAAATAATTATTATATGAACTTTCCAATACAGGAAGAGGTGCTTTTTAGGTCTTGTTGGGAGTAAAGCAATCAAAGTGATACTTCTACAAGCAGAATTCAACAAATAGTCAGCAGAAGCATTTTGAAGATTAACTTCACAGAACTTGGAAAGAAGAAAGAGAAAAAAGGAAACATAGGCATGCATTTTTGCACCCCTGCTGAAGAGGACCACAGAAATACTACTACTGTTTTAATGTTGTCACTGACATAGTAATCTAGAAGATAAATAATAACTATTATAATAATAAGCTCATTTTATGGACAGAAGAATTGAGGTTTAGAGAGATTAATCTACTTGAAAACAAATAGTTATAGAAATAACAAGTAGCAATAGTATCTGATTTGGGAACCCCAATAATATGTATGATATAAACTAATATTGAAATAACATTAATTTGGACATTTTGTCACCGTACAAAATGAAAGAAAATTTTTGCCAATGATTTTTCAAGATTTACATACCTTGCTTCAAAATCTGTGGTGATGACAATGTTATGCTTTTTTCTTGATTTGTTTTGCCTGTTAAACAATTCTGGTCTACTTGGCTTGGAAAATAGATAACATCTTTCAATCTCCGGTTATTGGTGTAATTTCCAGCCTTTTAAATATGTTAAGAGATGATCAGCAGCATTTTTACTGTTATCACCCTGGACTCTACTAGTTGTAAAATAGTGAAATAAGCTTGTAGTCCAGCAAAAAAACACATGAATAAGTTATCCAAATTATGTGGCTTTCCCCGAGGTTTAGCTGCAATGTACTACAAGCTACTTCTTCATTATTAAATTCTATTCCAATATCTCCTGAAATATGGATATGGCTTAGGACTTGTGGGGAATGAGAATTACTGTGTGACTTCTGTCTGCACACCCATCTTAACCTAACTATTCACTGTTTCTTCTCTAGTCATTGCTTCTGAGTTTGGTGAATTGGGTGGAGCTGGGGATAATGGGTATAAGGAACTAAAATAGTAAGGACCAGGAAAAATTATATCTACTCAGATGTGCATCAAATTCCAAAGCCATAAAAATATTTTGACTCCTGCTGACACCCCATTACCTTAATCCCTAGTGGATAATAAAATAGTTAAAATTAAGTTAAAACCATACATTGCTAGGAAAACATGGTCAGATAATCTAATTTTGAGATGGGGCACTGGTCATGAATTAGGACTCAGAGGGAGGCTGGATGTAGCTAATTGTTAACATTTTCTACACATTATTTGGTTATTTATGCTCATAATTAGGCTCAAAACCACAGTCTCTAGAAATAAATGGCATGGAGCTTTCCTCTGTGTCGCAGACTACTGTTATGTCGTCTCTTCATACATGTGCTCTTTGTTGAATATGCGTTCAGCGGTGCTAATGAGCAGATGAGCCCTAGCTAGTTATTTGCTAGTCATAGTTTCTCTCGTCACAGTGGGAAGAAGTGGTATGGCCAGGGCAGCGCTCAGGGAACCCAAACCAGTGCAGGACCGACCAGGTGGAAGGAGGGGTAGAGATACTGTGGCCTGGGCCTCCTCCGTGAGCAACAGAGCCTGGGGATGTGCTTCTCCGTGATCTGCCTGGAGTGGGGAACGTGCGCATGGACTTGAAAGGGAACAGGCAAATGGTTGGCTGAGCCAGGACCACAGCAGCACCAAATGGAACTGTCTTTTAGCAAAACTGTTGCTGGCCAGTAAGTGAAAATAGACAAAGGGTTGCCATCCGCAGGATCCAATTATTCATGGTTCTCTTGCAGGCTGCTGCAGTCATACATTATTGTGCCATTCTTTTTAATGAATACATTCTCTACCTTGATTTCCTATGTGTTTAGACTTATTTCTGTGATTTTTATTCTTAGCATTTGTAATCTCTAACTAAATAAAACCAAAAATTAAAAAAACCATGGATGAGAATGCACATGCATGTAAATTTTAAGACCGTGCTTGCATAAATGACACTGTTTTGTATTTGCCCTCTCTCACACTGAAATACTTTTTAAAAAAATGTATTTGGATTCACAATTCCAATTTTTTTTTAAAGTCTCCCAAAGCATCATTACTGTGTTGTGATTCAAAGTTAGCTTTTGTTTTTCAGGTTTTTGCATAACAACAAATTATCTAAAATCCCGGCTGGGAGCTTCTCTCATCTGGATTCATTAAAGAGACTGTAAGTGAAAGCAAGCGCACAGACACAAAAACCTTATGATTTTCCCCCAAATAAATAAATCCCAAGCAATGATTTGCCTTTGTCTCCTTTGGCCGTGGAAGATCATTGCAATTCTAATGTGTAAGGGAGAAAATGGTTTCGTTAACCGTAGAGCGATAGAGGACGCAGTCTACTGAGCTTTCATGTATTCTCTTAGAAGTGACATTCAAAAGGAATATTGAAGATAGAAGTTTCCTCGGTTCTCAGTAATTTCCTTGCTGGTCAAATCTAAAGGCTCCCAAGACTTCCTTTTCCTTTAACTTTTATTTAAAAAGAGATGTGAGAAGTTCTGAAGAAAGTCTAACTCCTCCAGCCAGGCTGCAGAAGTTTTCCCTCGTTGCACATATGGTTACTGGTAGAGTTCATTTCTTCCCACACTAAACAATTCAGAGCGAACCTCCCAATCCTGTTTGAGCCTCCAGCGGCCTCGCTTTTCTCTCTGCCTATGTGAATAACTCGCCTTTACCCTGATCTGTCTCTTCATCCTGATCTCTGGGTATACTTCTGCATTGTTGATGGATTTGGGGTTGTTGTTTTTTCTGTCCGTAAGTTCCAGTTATCAGATAAAAGTCCAATGTCCTGCTTCCCAGAGCTAGTTGGAGGGCACGGAGGGGAAAAATTACAAAGGTGTGCATCTCTCAGCTGTCTTGGAGGTCACGTTGTTGCTGGTGTCTTTCTGGTGTGATGTGCCCAGGTCCAGGTCCATGGGTGAGGGAGTGTTAAGATTAAGTAGATATCAGAACATGGGGGGAAATAAATTTGTGTGGAAATAACGCTTGGAATCATTGTGTTTCAAGGATCATGAATAATCAGGAGGACCATTCATCCAGCCCCAGTCCATCCTGTCAAGTCATTCTCTACTTTCATTGCAGTTCTCACAGCAGGTGCGGCCTTACCGTCTTTTCTCCTCCGGCTGTGCTCTTTGTGCTCAGACCCACAACTGCTTGATGATTCCCTTTTTCTGTCAAAATTTCCTTACTTCTCAGAACTGGTTGCACCATAGCCATTTGGAGTAGTGTGCGCATCGATTCTTGTTCGTTGTTTAAAAGACTTTATCTTTTAGAGCAGTTTTAGGTTCGCAGAAAGTACTGAGACTTCCCACATACCCTCTTTTCCTACACAGCCTCCCCCACGATCATCCTCCACTGGAGTGGTACCTTTGTTAAAATTTATAGCCCATAATCACTCAAAGTCAAATGTCCTGCTTCCCAGAGTTCACTCTTGGTATTGTACCTTGCATGAGTTTAGATGAATGTATGATAACATATATCATCACTATAATGTCAAAACAGAATATTTTCTCTGGCTTAAAAGTCCTCTGTGTTCCACCTATTATTCATCCTCTCTTCCCCCTAAACTCTGGCACAAAACATTTTACTGTCTCCATAGTTTTGTCTTCTCTCGAATGTCATATAGTTGGAGTCATACAGTATGCAGCCTTTTCAGATTAGCTTCTTTCGTTTAGTCATAGGCATTTAAGATTCTTCCGTGTCTTTTCATGGAAATTACTAGCTAATTTCTTTTTAGTGTTGAATAATATTCCGTTGTCTAGATGTACCAGTTTCTTTATGCATTCACTAACTGAAGGACATTTGTTGGCTTCCACATTTTGGCAGTTATAAATAAAGCTGCTATAAACATCCATGTGTAGGTTTTTGAGGGGACAAAAGTTGCACTTCCTTTGGATAAATACAAAAGAACATGATGCTGGATGGCACGCGTAAAATATGTTTAGTTTTATAAGAAATTGCCAGACTGTCTTTTGAAGTGGCTGTACCATTTTTTAGTCCCACCAGCCGTGAATGACAGCTCAGTTGCTCCACACCCTCACCAGCATTTAGTGTCGTCAGTGTCCTGGGTTTGGCCATTCCAACACATGTGTAGTGTTACCTCATTATTGTTTTAACGTTCTTGTTTTTAAGTCATATCTGGAAAATGAAAAATGCCAAGGCATTTTGTTACCAGGTCATAGGATGCTTTATTTTTGGTAGCGGGAAGAATATTTTTTTACTTGCCATCTTTCTCTTTTGTTGGATTTATCACTTGTGGTTAGAGTCACTGTCTTTGTATATTTGCAATTATAATTCCCATTAAATGTTTCTTTTCTACATACATTTCCATCTGGGTATCTTTCTTGACTTCTAAGACTCTCAGAAAGTCTTGAAATGCTCAATCTCTTGTTTGTTTTTCTAATCCCTTTCTATTATTCTTTCTTGTTAAATTTTAGTAGCAGCTTTTTTGTTCTAACTTCTTAAATTTAATGAAACAGCATTCACTCTATTGCTGGAACACACACAGAGAAATAAACACTAATAAAGAAGCAGAGGGAGACCTACATACAGTGATGTGCCAGTATGTATCTTATATGCATGTGTTATATATATTTCAAACGTTTTAAGCCAAATATAAGAATGTTGTTAGTATGTTATGTTGATGAAATGTCTGTTTTCATAGATGGTACACTGATCACTTATGGTCATGGTAAACTGACATACAGATGATTTGAGCAAACTCTTCCAGTGTTCATGAGATCTTGGTCAGTCTGAGATGGCGAGCACTGGTACCTAGTTTTTCCAAATCCTCAAACCCATGCTTATCCAAGCTGTAATTTACACATGAAAATCAGAATAAAGGAAAGTGACTGAGGGCTAGTAAATAAACTACACGTACCATCCAATAAATTCTATCTTCTACATTGAAGTCTCTCAACAGCTGGGGGAATGTCGCTTCACGGCTAGTACCTGGGAGTCTGAGAAACCTGTTTGAATCACATTTGCCCTATCACCCCAGGAGCTGTGTGTGACATCTGATAGCGGTTTCCCCTTCTGTACCATATCATTTCTAACTCATGACAACCACATTCCTTCCAAGAGTACTGAAAAAATTAATGAAATGCTTTTTAACAGTGCTCTTGGGTCTGTAAGTGAAAGGGATTATGCAAGTACAAGTGATAAATTACTCTATTTTCAAATAGAAAGATTTGAATTTGAATTTAGTCCATGCTTTTTTTTCCCTTTCAAATTGCCCATTGAGCAGTGAACAGGTCCAAGTGAGTAATGATTTGGGTGTTGTGATTCTTGACTGAATACTATCAAAAGGCTGTTGTCTTTTATTTAGCACACTTGGTGTGACATTTGATTTAAGAGAACTTTCAAAATAGAGAACAGTAAAATGGCAATGATTTTAAGCATAGGGTACTACTAATAAGTATGGTCTAATACAGATTAAGACAACCCTCCTTTATTATTGATTTACTTGATAGCTTTTTATTTTTCAAAATTTATGGCTTTAAATTATAGGCAATGTTTCAAAGAATGCTTTCCCAGTATGAACTTGGAAACACTCTATTTATGGGCTCCCCAAATGGACTTTTGTACAAAAATACAGTTCTAGTACTATATATTTTTTTTCAAATATAAAGGAGGTTTTTAAGTGGCAAGTGAAAAAAAAAATTCCATAGTTGTTTTATTCATGTTTTGTATCCCTGGTATAGATGAATTTTTTAATTAAGTCAATGGTCATAAAAAAAAGAAATTAAATGTTATGCTCAAGTGTTGCTAAAACACACAAGCATGAGGATACATATGGGAAAATATTGATTACTGATTAATGGAGGGTTGATATATAAGCAATGATGATGTCAGGGAAATGGAAAATTCCAGACTATTAGGGTCCCATGGCTATGATGTTCCCGAGGAGTTATGTTGATGTCCTGGCTTTTGTTCAGCTTGGAAATCTCATGGTGATACTAAAGCAAGAATTTACACCTTAATATTTAACAACAAAAAATTATTTTTGATAAAATTACCAGACATTAAACTCAAAACATGAATTAAACTCAAAAACATGAATCAGAATGAAATTTAATGTTGAAATATATCTGCTTTTTAGCAAAGCAGCTGATAGAGTAAATCAGACAGTGATATGGAATAGCCAAGGACACTGAACCTAATACTTTGCTGAACAAGTGTTAGTCAACTGTTACGTCTTTTACATCACTCCAGACACGGCTGAAAGTGTTCTCCAGTTCAGTTATGGCTTTTTTTTTTCTCAGTTTCATGTGAAGTCTTGATGGAAGCATTAAGCAAATAAAATCCATACCATTCAGCAACTTTTTAATGAGTGTGAGATTTTTTTCCCCTTAATTTAACAATTTAATGCTGCTAAATATAGCTACTCTTTTTAGAGTAATACAATTTAAGTACAATATAACTTAATCTTATGAACTAAGTATCTACAATATCCTTCACAAAATTATCAGACAATAAATCTTTCTTAAATTTATTTAAAAATTTACAGTTTTCTGGAATTATTATAATCCAAATCTAGAGAATAACATGATTTTTTTTTTTACTTTTAGAAAAAACTGTTCTAGTAACTTGATGTTAATATAGACTCCTAAGTTAAAACAGCTAGGATTTTTTATTTTATATGCTTATTGATTCTTTAAATTCCTTTGTTTGTTTCCCAAATGATTTTTAAGAACATTTCATACAATTATTAAAAAATTATGCCATTTTAAAATTCTGCTTAAAAATCACATTCAGCATTACTTATTACAATAAAATTTGAACAATGTAACCCTTGTTGCTATCATAAATATATCCATATTATCATTTCATCTCTGGAACTCCCTTGTGCAGAATGTGACCTGATTACTGCTATAGACAGACTTTTGTATTTCATTTAGCTAATGCTGCCCTTTAACCCTTGGGATAGATGAAAGAGATAATTTATCATATCTGTGCCCTTTTGCTATACATCGTTTGGCAAGAATGGAGGTATACACCATAAATCTCTTTGGTTATCTATCAATTTTGTTTCATGAGGAAAAAAAGTGTTGGAAAGGGTTAGGAAAATATAGTAACACTTAGCAAAAGTGAAGAACTTGTGGGCCTAGATTAGGAAATATCACAAAAAAATATGACAGACCTGCCCATCACAGTCTCTAAGAGACACTTCCAGATGCGGACCTTTGTAAAATGGTGTGATTTTCAGTGATAGCCAGGCCTCTTAGTACACACAAAAAAGAAAATTTTAGAAGTCCCTGTCCCTAACCTTTAGGGAAAATTGAAAACACAAAGAAACACATGCCTATCCATATTGGATATCAAGGTGGTTTATAAGAGAAAAGAGCAAGTCATCTAGGGCAGCCACACAAACTATACACAGCACATTTATAGGCCTCCTTTGGGTAAGAAAGCATCTACTCTTTTAAGTAACATCTATGAAAAAGTTTAGAAAAGCAACACCACCAAATATAAATTCTCTGTTCTTAACATGTAAAAGAATTATAACATTTCAGTATGTATAGTTTTAATTCTTAGTTTTCTCTAAAACAAGGAAGTTTTCATTTTATCTTATTTATTTAAATCAAATAGTATACTGCATGTTAAGTAAAATGTATGTTAAGTAAAAACCACTTTTTGAGTCTCAAAGTGCTTTCCAAAAATATTTAATATGAAAATATATCTATTTCTGTTCAAGAAATGCAAACAGGTAAGCATGTGTTTTAATCTCTTAATTGGTAGCTAGAAATCCTAGAGTAAAAAATATGACTGAAAAGGTAAATTACAGGAATTTAAATATTTTAATTCAGAAGATTCAAAAGAAATTAATAGTCGCTTTCAACAGTTGTAATTCTTGCCTGCATGCCTAGGCGTCTGGATTCCAATGCTCTAGTTTGTGACTGTGATTTAATGTGGCTGGGGGAACTTATGCAAGGCTATGCCCGAAATGGCCAAACTCAGGCTGCTGCTACATGTGAATATCCCAGAAGGCTCCAGGGACGCTCCATCGCTTCGTTACCAGTAGAGGAATTTAACTGTGGTATGCAATTTTCTCTGTGCGTGTAAAATGGAAATGTCTTTTGTTTGCCCCCTTTCTATAAAAGTTTGTTATATGATGTTGCATTTGGAAGAACATAATATCAGAAAATGTTATCAAGTTATTTAGTTAAAAGTATGGTCAATTTCCTTTTCAGCTTCTGCATTTTGATTTAAGGAAGTTTTTATCATTATAAACAGAGCTGGGACAGTCCTTGAGGATCATTTAATCCAACTTTCAAATTTCAAAGGAGAAATATTAAAGAAAACTATTTTCAACAAGGTCATAGGACACTGTGACCAGCATTAAAGTTTCCACTTAAACCAGTATTACTTAAGTGTTAATAATCAATAATTGAGGTTTTTCAACTTTAGATCAAATAATTATTAATATTCATAATAGTAATGCAAACTTTGGATTTGGTAAGCATAGTTCATATTCTAACAACTTCAATAATTCTCTCAGGCTTTATTTGAAGATCCAAGTATAGCTTCTTAGGAACTTTTTGGTTTTCGGGGCGCCTAGGTGGTTCAGTCAGTGCCTTCTGCTCAGGTCATGATCCCAGGGTCCTGGAATTGAGCCCCATGTCGAGTTCCCTGCTTAGTGGAGAGCCTGCTTTTCCCTCTCTCTCTGCTGCTCCCCCTGCTTTTGCTCTGTCTCTCTCTCTCTGTCAAATAAATAAATAAATAAAATATTTTTAAAAAAAGAAATTATTTGATGCTCACTTCAAGCTTTTAATATAAAGGAATATCTACTTGTGTATCTATCTAATCTATTTTTATATATAGCTTTAAATATGAATAAATGAATATACTTACATACGTGTGCATGTGTGTGATAATTGGGCTCCTTGAAAATTTACTCAGGTGATAGCTTACAGCAGAAATTTGTTTTCTAATGCCCCATTCATTGGAGGCCAATATTTGAATTTCTCTAAGCAGGTCATTTGAAAATTATATTAATATAATTTAATTCCATCCAGATGGAGAAGCAAAGTGACTTGGTCTTTATTTCCAAATAAATCTCAAATTTGTCCATACCTTCCATCTTTACTATCAACTTGGAGTTTATGTCATAGTCAAGTTTGCTGGGAATACAGAACATCTTAACTGCTGCCCCAGCTTTCATTTTCTTCCCTCTCCAATCTATTATATTTAGGGAGATCTTTTAAAACACAGATCTGATTATATAATTCTTTTGCTCTCTTTTATAGCTTCCCATGCCTTCAAATGAAACACCAAATCCTTAACAAGGTCACACTTTCTATATGTTGTAGCCCTTGGCTACTCTGTAACCTTGATTCATTCTGCCCCTGCTTCTGCCCAGTGATGTTTAGTCATCATGATGTTCTTTCAGTTCCTAGAAGTTCTTAAGATTTTTTCCAACTCAAGGACTGGCTATACGCTATTTACTCTGCCTACAGTATTCTTCTTGCCTCTCTTCTTTTAAGAGCCCTCTTCTTAAATATTAATTACTTGGAAAGGCTTTTTTTAATTTTGCTCTCTACCCACCTTTTCCCTACCACACACGCTGAGTCAGGTCCCTTTTTATAATCTATCAAATAACCATTTACTTTTCTTAGCACTTCTTACAACATTTTATTATACATTTTTGTGTTTGTTTACTTTCAGTTGCTTCAATGAAACTATAAGCCCATGAGTACAGAGACTTTGTTTTGATCACTGTTTTGTCACTGTCTTAGCACTGTGCCTGACACACTGTAATGTTGAATTATTTTTTAAAGTAAAAATGTAAATGAATCAAACAATTTTTCTAAAAAGGGTAAGTCCAGGATGTTGGTCATATGGACTTTTGATGAAGTGGTTAAGATTAATAGAGATCTATGCAACATTCTCCAGACATGTTAGATCTGGTTATTTATTAATGATCGAAAGTCTCAAATGATGCACTTATTAAAGAAAGAGTTTTATCATTTAGAAAGGTTTAAAAAATTACGTTAAGTTTGCTGTAGAAAGGCAAAATTCCCTTTTTTACATTGTTCTCTATAATTTAAATTCAATAATATTATCCAGTTCATTAAATATCAATCACTCCACTTCTTTATTAAAATAATTTAAATATTTCCATGTTTTACCACTAATTATTATTTGAGAACAGAAACATTCATTTATATTAATAAGTAATTTTGCTCAACCAGGTTTGAGGTCTAGACATACAAATTCTTATAAATTTTATAAAGTGGGTAGTTAGATGGCTAATTGTCTAGAAGAATGCCTACAAAATTGCAAGCTCAACTGAAGTACTTGGCTTGAAATATTGACCCATAAAATCAAACTCCTTCCAGAAATATGGCTGTAAAAGGCACAGGGAAATTTATTTAATTTACTTCATTGGAGATTCCTTTATGCAGTGTATCAAACTTCTAAAGTTTTGTTAAATATATGTCTAACATTGAAACTGGTATGTTACTGGGTAAAAGCAATACAATTTGTAAAACTTTAATGTAGAGGGATTAGAATTATCTGTAGTCCTTTGTCAATAATAGAGTACTGTAATTTTGTATCTTTAAAAGTATACCAATAATTCTTCTGTTACAGAGAGTCCTCGAATTACTTTTGAGCCCCAAGATGTGGAAGTAACATCAGGGAATACTGTCTACTTTACTTGCCGGGCTGAAGGAAACCCCAAACCAAAGATTATTTGGATACATAACAAGTAAATACTGAGCATGGGCATGTGTTGTATTCTCTTTCAAATTTCATTAATTCATTTATCTTGCTTCAAGTTTATCTAGAGATGAATTTTCCAAAATTGTCAGTATTTCTGGACATTTCATAAAAATGTCTTTTAACTTTCATCTTTTGACTTGCCCAAAGTATCTGGAAGACTTCTTAAAATTGTATATTTCCAGACATCAAAGACTGTGAAATTGAGTAAAGGAATTTTGTATTATTTCTAGAAGGAAATATTGGGATAATAACAAACTAGTATGTTTTAAAATCTGAACATAATTAGATATAACCTCACCTTAATTATTTTAGTTTCAACCTGGTATTTTACATTTGATGTTGTAAATTTCACATAGTAAATCAGTATAACATTATGTAAGTGAATTGGCAATAAAAGATGCAAGATTACTTAAAATACTAGTCATTTATTTTATTTTTATTGCACTATTTGATAAAACATGGTATCTACTAGTCTAAAAGGCTGTGAATGTAAAGTTGAATAGTAATAACAAACTTATAAAAAGTTAAAATAAAAGTTTAAAAGAGGAGTGGGAAATGAATTATATACTTGATACAATTCAGTGATAGTACTTGGACAATTATATTATCATTAATTATGTTATTGGTAACCAGCATGGTTTGCATGTGTCTCTTCCATGCCTCCACAAAATTTCATTGTTTGTTTTCTGTCATGTGTATAATCAACTCTAAATTTTAATGCTTTTCTTTGTAAAAGATTCTGATATAGTTTGTATCTTTTTTGTATATAATTTGTATTTGTAATTGTAGTAAGAAACCCAGGCATATTTGTAAAATGTGTTTTTAATTCTAGCAAAAAAAACTAATAAGTATAGGTTAAAAATAGCTTGGAAAAAAGGCAATTATGAACACTATTAAATCTGGAATCTGGCCTAGGAGAAAGACTTCAACTGATAGAAGACATCAATTTATTTCCATCTGGAGATAGTTCAATGGTACTTGAGAAATAGAAATTGCTGCTTATAATGTCTTCCAACTGCTTGTTCTGCCTTCTTACAGTTTAAATTAAGTCATTATGTGTTCAAGGTTATAAAGGTACTGACTAGTATTCAGAAAGGAACAAATAAAAAATCATATTGCTTGATGGAATGTATGATATACGGGTTTTAAATATGGTGACTAAGGAAACTAAGATGCATTTCAAAAGAAACAAAGAAATTGAAAAAGAAGGAATAAAATGAAGGAAAGGTGAAGCATAGGCAGAAGTTTCTGTTATAATATTAGCCATTTCATATAGAAAAAGAATAGAAATGAAAGGGAAGAATTTATACCAAGAAATGTTTAACATTAACAAGTCTTGCTGATTATTGGTCATAAAGTATTTTTTAATAAAAAGATAATATATAGGGCACCTGAGTGGCTCAGTTGGTTAAGCGACTGCCTTCGGCTCAGGTCATGATCCTGGAGTCCCTGGATCGAATCCCGCATTGGGCTCCCTGCTCGGCAGGGAGTCTGCTTCTCCCTCTGACCTTCCTCCCTCTCATGCTCTCTGTCTCTCATTCTCTCGCAAATAAATAAATAAAATCTTAAAAAAATAATAATAAAAAGATAATATATATACTGAAAGTGCATGAAATATACCCTATATTACAACAGGTAATTTGAAATAAACATCTCTTTAACATAAACTAAGCTAAGAAAAAAAATACTGCCAATTCATTAGGAGCAACCTAGGTGTTCCTTCCTTAACATTCTTCTGTTTTCCTCCCCTGGAGATAACCTCTATCCTGACATTAGGGTCCATAGGACAGTGAGTTAAGAACTGATTAGACACAAGCAAAGGGGGAATTAGAGAATTAGAGGGTATGTCTGTTGGAGTATATTAGCTATCAGGATGGTTAAGAAACATGGAAACTATAATCCAAAGGTCCAGGACATATCCAATAAAGAATTCCAGAAAGAGAAGTTAAAATAATGAGCTGGAGTCAATGTTTAGAGAAGTAACAATGAAAAAATTTCCAGAAATGAAAAAAAGCATGAGATTTCAGATTAAGAAAGGTACTGATTCCCAACAAGGACTTAAAAAAGAAATCTGTATCTGGTGCATTATGATCAGAAAATTGAAAGAGATGGAGGAGGAGCAAGATGGCAGAGGAGTAGGAGACCGAAATGTCATCTGGTCCCACGAATTCAGCTAGATAGTTATCAAACCATTCTGAACACCTACAAACTCAACAGGAAATTGAAGAAAAGAATAGCAGCAACTCTCTGAACAGAAAAGCGTCCACTTTTTGGAAGGTAGGATGTGCGGAGAAGTGAATCTGAGGCGATATTTGAGAAGATAGACCGCGGGGGGAGGGAGCCTCTGTCAGCTGGCTACTGGCAAGTGATAGAGAGTGGAACACAAAATTGGAATATTTAGAAGTCTGCGCTGCTGAGGGACGACACTCCAGTGGCTAAGTGGGGGGTAGAACCCTCGCTGGGACAGTGTGCTCTCAGGACAATGAGGGTCACAGAAAGACCAGGGGTGACTGAGTGCAGCACAGCTCCCAGGTATTGGAGCAGGGAAGCCAGCTCCAGAGACGAGGAGTGGGGTCTCAGACCTGGGTTGCCATAAACCGTGATCTACGGCACAGTCAGGCCACTGTTCTTTGGGGAGGGACACAACAAGTGGCAGATCCGGGGAGACTCCCCTTCCTCCCCCGGGAGGAGCAGCACAGGAGTGCACCATAGGGATCTGCAGGGTTTGGAGACTCCAAACAGGGTCAAGTGCCAGAAATAGAAATGCTTGGTCACAGGCCAGGTGAGCACGGAGTGTGGCCAGAAATGGGGGAGACAGGAGTGATTGACTGCTTTTCTCTGGGGGCTCGCTGAGGAGTAGGGCCCCAAGTTCTCGGCTCCTCTGGGGTGGAGATTGGGAGGCAACCATTTTCACTCTCATCCTCCAAAGCTGTATGGAAAGCTTGCAGGGAACAAAAGCTACCGAGAGCAAACACGAGCAGTGTTTAGCCTGGCCCCTGGCAAGGGTAGGGCAATTTTGCCTCAGGCAAAGACATTTCAGAACCACTGCGACAGACTCCTCCCCCAGAAGATCAGCAAGAACAGCCAATCAAGACCAAGTTTACTAATCAATGGGAATGGCAGAACTCCAGCACTAGGGGAATACAGCACATAGAGTTCATGGCTTTTTCCCCCCTGATTCTTTAGTCTTTCAAAGTTAAATTTTTTAATTTTCTTTTTTTATTTTTTTTTGAATTTTTCTTTTTCCCTTTCTCAACCAACATCTTAGCAATCACTTTTTAAAAAA